ATCAATCTGGGTTGGAGGCTGTTTTCTTTTAGGGCTCGGAATATGTCACTCCAAGCTCTTCTTGCCTTGATGGTTTGTGTTGAGACATCTGCTGTGATTCTGATGTGCTTTCCTTTGCATGTGATTTGTTTCTTTTCTCTTAACTGCTTGTAGAACTTTGTTCTTCTGTTGAGTTTCTGGAACCTTTATATGCCTATATGTAGATTTTTTTTTGATCAAGGCTATTTGGAGTCCTGTATGCCTCAGTTATCTGTATGTCAAGTTCTTTTCCCCTACTTGGGAAGTTTTCTGACATTATTTCTGTGAAGAGTTTTTTTATGTCATCTGCACTCTCTCCTGTTTTTTCATTGACTCCAATCAGTCTTACGTTATTCTTCTTTGCATCATCTAGCAGCTGCTGCCTTGATTTCTCATGTTCCCTTATAACTTTGAAGCAATTTTTCTTTTCCTGATCATTAATTACAGTCTTATCTTTTATATTTGAAATTCTGTCCTCACATTGGCTCATTCTGCTGTGTAGACTTTCAATGGAGTTTTTCATGTCCTAGAAATCTCTTTGCATCTGTTTTATGGATTGCATTTGTTTCCTATGTTGGGATTCCATCATGTTCCTCAGCTCCTCTCTAGATTTCTTAATCATGTCTTGCACTAGTAGCACAATCTCTGTTGTTCTCTGAGAAATTATTTCTGATTTCATTTTTTCCAGATCCCCTTTTGTTGCCAGTTCAGTGGGTCCAGGTGGTTGAGTATCAGAGGGTTCCATCTCATTTCCCTTTGGGGTTGCTGTAGGTGATCTGGAAGTCTGGTTTTGAGACTTATTTACGTATTTTCTCATTTTGACAGGGCGGGCAGGGGGGTGCTGTTGGTGCTCCTGTCGATCACCTCCTCTGAGCTGGGAGCTGTGGGACAGGGGCCAAGAGCGGTGGTCAGGATGGTGGCCTAGAAGCCCCTTCCTCTGGGTTGGGAGCAGAGGGGCAGAAGGCTGCCCAAAAGCCCTTTCCTTTGGGCTGGGAGCAGCGGGAGGGATGGTGGTTGGGAAGCCCCTTCCTCTGGGTCGGCAGCGGCGAGATAGACTGCGGCCCAAAAGCCCTTTCCTCTGTGCCGGGAATGGTCGGTGCACTAAACTTTTAATAATGTTTAATTTCAAATTTATAATTTTAAGAGATCACCGTAAATATATTCCTTTGTATTGCAGATAAACATATTGAAACAGAGCTGCTTCATCATATTTGAAGACAGTTCTAAATCCTGGGTTCTCTGGAAGGACATTCAAACAGGCAGGTGCTACTATCTATTGAACATGATTTATGGTGAAATTTGATTTTCTTCAACTTGGCATTTCCTGATACTGTCTTTTGAATCTGTTATATTGTAGTAACTCAGTGTCACATTTGAGGAACAGTTGGAAAAAATTACACTGCATGCAAAATTATTCCTTTGTTTTTATTTTATAAACATGGGTCTGTCTTTTGTAAGAATGAAACATGCTGTATTGTTTTCTGTTCATTTTCATTCACTGTGTGTTCCTTTGAGCTTTTGTAAAATTGTCCGTAAAACAGGTTTAATACAGATCCGTTGTTTTGTCCCTCCCTCTCTCCTCTTTTTTTTTTCTATTTTTTTATTCTTTTCTATTTTTGGAAACAAAGGGAAAATAATGGCATAGCTATTTTATAATATTCTGTAAAGATTTACTTTTTCATCATTTTCAAGACTTGCTTCCCCAGGAATGGAACGGAGGTGTACAAGAGAACCCTTTGGCAGTATAATTCTCTCTCTCTTTCTCTCTCTCTCTCCCTCCCTCTCTCCCTCTCTCCCTCTCTCCCCCCCTCCCTCTCTCCCTCTCTCCCTCTCTCCCTGTCAGCCACAAATATCACACAACACATAGCTCCAAACATCTCAGTTCCCCAAGAGAGGAGCAAAACAGGAGAATATCTCTTTATCCAGATCTAAGTACCTTTTTTTTTTTTTTTTGCTTAAATTCTTTTATTGGTCCATTTTAGGTATATAATACGTTTACATTTATCATTGGGTGCTTTCTTCTCTCTTTTAAATGTGGTAGAAACTGTGCTATCCAACAAGTACCGCATCTAGTATATCAGACTAGTCATTATAGATAGATATGTGTTAATAAAATAATTTTATCTAGTGAGATACTTTCAGATTCACATAAATAAGGAAAAATACAACTATAATAGTAGTCAGAAAACATGGCAACATCATAACAAGGAGATACATATCATGTTAAGACTGTTAACATAAATTTAAAAGAATTTGTAACACCTAATGCTATTCTTGTTTTTGTGAAATGATATCAGGACTCCTATATTGCTGGTAGTACTGTAAATTTGTTTGGGTTATTACTTTCGTAGTTGTATTAAGTGCCTAAAAATGTTAATAGACCCACTTCTAGTAGTTTATTTATGAGAAATAATTTAAAATAAAGAAGCTACATGAGAAATTTTTCTACTGTAGCTTTATCTTAAACAGAAAAATTGGTATTTCTAAGATAAAAGGGGCCAAGATTTACACTCAGATGGGTTTTGTAGTAAGGGAAACCAGAAGGTCCAGTAAGCTATATAAGAAGGTTCTTGTAAACTTCATAGTTAAAACATGTACTTGGACTTCACAAGTAAATATAATTCTCAGGTTCCTCAGAATTGTTTCTTGATGTAAATACATATTGTTTATGGTATCAGTATCTCCTTTTTTGAAGAACTGTCTTTGCCCTTACTGGTCTAAATGGTTTAGGGGGAGACACCTATCCCAGGATGGGAAATTATTCCCTTGCCATAGAATTATAGATTTAGACTTACAGGTCCCAGGTTGAATCTAGTTATTCTTACTGAGCCATAAATCTAGAAACCAAGAGAGACCCTATCCTAACAAGTATACCAGGAACCAAATATAGTGGAAGAGAGATAGTAAGAGACTGAAACAACCAAAAATACAAAGAGCAAATAAAAAACAGTAACCTTTGTACCCCAAAATAGAGGTGTAATGAAGTAAATTTGGTTCTTTCCACTAGATGGAATATTATGCAGCTATTAGAAGTTGTAATTTTGAAAACTGTGAAATGCTTTTGATAGAAGAAATATTACATAGTATTGATGAAAGGAAACATCTCGTGGTGGAGAGAACATGGATTCTGGCACATCTGGGTTTGAATTTTAACCTTGATTATTTTCTAATTGAGGGTCCTTTGACTAGTTACTTTGTCTGTCTGGGCCTCAGTTCTTCTCTTTGGATGTTATTTATCTAATACTTTATAGAATTAAGCAGAATATGTCAGGAACCTAACATAATGCTTGGCCCAGGGCACAAAATTGTACATATTTATTTGGATGTAAATAAAGTATGTTATTGTTTGGACTTACTGAAATAGGCAAGAAGAGAATATTGAAAATAAAAGTTAGTGTGATAAAATCCTAGTTTTAAATTGTTTTATGTTTTTAGAATAAAAATTGTTTAAAGAAGAAATGATTTCCCTTTTGGTTTAAAAATGCAATTAATGGGGCCAGGGATTTAGCTCAGTGGTTCCGCCACCTGTCTCACAAGTGCAAGGTTCCAAGTTCAATCCCCAGTACCCCCTCCCCCTCAAAATGCAATTAATAAATAGAACCCTCAATTTTTGTTGCAGTGTAATTCTTTTAGGGTACTTTATTGTACATTGTAATTCTAGATTTCAGAGATGGAATAATAGATGACCAGCCTCTTTTATAAATTAGTAAATACTCTGCAGCTAGAGAGATCAGGGATCATTAACATATCTTTCTTGCCCTTTTCCTTTTGTCTCATGATATTAGACATGCAGGATGAATGAATGCATGCACATGTGTAGCTGTATATTCTGGAGGGTAGCTCTAGTATTCACAAAACCATCTTTATTCCCCAGCCTAACTCGTGAGCCCATGAGAAATAAGAGATGCTGCCTGAGTACAATTTAAATTATGCCTGATGCCAAAAAGCACATTAAATTACGAGTTTAAGACAATCAGGTATCTTTAAGTTAAAGGTGCGAAGAACAGAAAGAGTAGAGAGAGCATTTTGTATACAGTACTTTGCCTTTTGATTCATTATAATCTAGTTAACAGTCACTTTGTAGGCTACCCACTGAGTCATAAAAGTAGTCTTGTTTTATGGAATTCTTTATGACTCTTTCAATGTTTTTAAAAAATATTTCAGGAGCCACTGGAAGTGGGGAAATGGTCTGTACAATATGTCAAGAAGAGTATTCAGAAGCTCCTAATGAAATGGTTATATGTGATAAGTGTGGCCAAGGTAAAAACTGACTTTTTAAAAAAATCTTGTGGAAAAGATTTGTTATATATTGAATGACGCTGTTGAAGATTAATGATTAAAAATAATTTACATTGGTAATTTGAAACTTTTATCATAAATTTTTTCATCAATTGTAAATATTTTAATGAAGGTAACTTAATACTAAAATGCCTTCTTGAAATTGTGTTTTGCAGTATTTATTAATAAAATAGAATTTGCTTTATGCTCTTTTTGATATTAAGGGTATCATCAATTGTGTCATACACCTCACATTGATTCCAGTGTGATTGATTCAGATGAAAAATGGCTCTGTCGACAGTGTGTTTTTGCAACAACAACAAAGGTATCTTTTAAGTGTTTTAGGCTAAATTAGCCCTAAGTGGAATTTGAAAGGCTCTATCAATTTAATGATTGTACACATTGAAAGTTTATTTGAATGAAGTAAGCCTTCTGTGGTGGTTAGAAAGAATTTCTATTTACTCTTTGAATAATGATACTTAAGTGACTTATTGTTACACTTATGATAGTGGCATGGGGATTGGAGCAATAATATGGAAGAAGACAAAATAGTGATTATTAGGCAATTTCTTATATGATAGAAATTTACAGTGGAGAATTTTTCAGAAGTGTCAGGCATTTTTAAGTTGTAGAATTGTATTTAAAATTTTATCAATAACCTTTAAAATAATTTTTCCCTCTAATACTTAGAGGGGTGGTGCACTTAAGAAAGGACCAAATGCCAAAGCATTGCAAGTCATGAAGCAGACATTACCCTATAGCGTGGCAGACCTTGAATGGGATGCAGGTCATAAAACCAATGTCCAGCAGTGTTACTGCTATTGTGGAGGCCCTGGAGAGTAAGTAAATACAATTTTTTAATGCCATTTAAGTAATTTTTGCTTTTCCTACTGATTGTGTTGTAGGAGTGATACATAAAAGTTACAGATACATAAAAATGCATTAGTAAAGAATAGGGTAGAAAATAGCTTTCACACATAGAAAAATATTTAGGTTTTGCTCATATCCATATGTTGAGAAAATTTTTAAGATTGGTTATTCTAGAAAATTAAAATGAATTGTAAGTATTTGTGTACCTTATAAAATAAATTGTATAAATGGGAAACATTTACTAAAGATGCTTCATTGCATGTCATTTTTAATGTGATTGACTATTTAGAAATTGGTACATTTAATAATACTATTTGAATGAAAGAGTAATAGACAGATTTTGGTTAAACTACAGAATCAAGGTAGGATTATTTTCATCGATTGCTTAGAGAGTAAACTGCTCTCCCCTACGTATTCCATTTCTTGTGAACCTATACAGATTGTTTTCAGAAGAAACTATTAAATAGCTTTTCTAAGATTTTAACTGAAACAACACCCCATCCAGATACTAGACATCTGTAATGGGAATCATATCTCTAAATGAGACTTGATAACCACAAAACACATAGCCAAGGTATTTAAACTTTAATCAGGATATCTGAAATGTGTTGTGTACAGGTGCAAGTGTTTGAGTGTGTGCGTGTTGCATGTGTTTTATTTTTTCATTAATCCCAGATGCTTTAATATTCACCAAACAGTTGTCATTATTACTTAGTAAAAGTATAAAAAGAAACAATTTAAGTTGATCATTCTGGTAAATTGTATATGCATAATTAAGGGTCTGTCATTTTATTCACCTTTGTTATTAAATGTTTGCTAAATCAACAAGCCAAAATTCTTATTAAGAGTATGTAGAAATTTAATTCTAACTCTGATCACTAGCAGCACAGTAAAGATAAAATTAAATGTTCATATTCTGAAAGCTGCCTAAGGCTATGTGGTATTTGGAGCAACCAGTTTTACCTCTCCTAGGGTGTAGAAAATTGACTTGAAAGAAATCTCAGGCATAGAGCAGGGTATGGTGGTGGATACCCTAGCCCCAGCTACCCAGTAGGCTGAGATACAGGAAGATAGTTTTAGCCCAGGAGCTCAATGCCAGCCTGGGAAACACAGTGAGACACCATCTCAAAAGGCGTGTGGAGAAGAGAGCTGGGCGTGGGGAGTAACTCAGTGGTGGAGTATGTACTTAGCATATACAGAGTCCTTAATTTGATCTCTAGCACTACCAAGGGGAAAAAGTAAATTGCAGTCTTATGCTCTGAGAGAGAGCCTTTACTACTGTAGGAGCCAGCAGTTGTTGACTAGAAATAGATGTATATTTCAAGAGATTATAAATCCCCATGAATAAAAGAGGACATATGAAATGGCCAATATTAGAAACCTTTTTGGGAAAGAAAAAAAAATTAACACTAAGTATAGTAGAAATGTAATAACTTTAATCACAACTGTATTCTGGATAATGGCACTTTGTTGTTTAAAAAACCTTTTTGAATCATCAAGAGTAGTTTAATCTTAATTTTTTCCTTATAGCTGGTATTTAAAGATGCTACAGTGCTGCAAATGTAAGCAGTGGTTTCATGAAGCTTGTGTGCAATGCCTTCAGAAGCCAATGCTATTTGGAGATAGGTAAGAAAGCATTTGAACTTATTTTTGTGGCTTTTAAATTGTGCTTATTTTGCAGTTTCAGATTTCTCAAAATAGTTTTGGCAGTAATTTGTAAAGAGGTTATTTTAGATGGAAAATATTGAATGATATATTTAAAATACACATAATTTTTGTGCTTTTTGTATTATTCAGAAGGATCCCCTCCTTGCTCCCCAGAAGCTGTTCAGTACTGTCAGTGATTACAGTTAATTACTTCTGTTGCTCCACAGCAGACTAGACTATTCTCGTTGGCACCTCCTTCTAAAGAATTTCAAAAGGATTATATAGGGAGTGACCAACAAATACAGTGAATGCTGTTTTTAAAAAACAATTACAATTACTACAGGAAACAACCCATTGCTATTATTTCCTCTCAGAATACCCCCTCTCAATTTGAACACACTTATTCCATCTTTCTTGCCACTTTCTGAAGCAGTTCTAGAAGTTCTCTAGAAATGTATTTACAAGGTGTGATAAAGCATATGGTGAATGCTGCTGCCAATACCATACAGTGGAAGGGCAGGCTTGGAAAAACATTACAGTGTATCTTCATTTACTTTATTCACTGGATATGGCACTTCAGCAAAGTCAAAATGTCCATGAAAAGCAAACAGTTTGTATTGATTTAGGGCGTGGAGGTAGCCATGAGATTGCTACTAATGACACTAGTTACTTCCTTGTTGCTGGGACAAAATACTGGACACCCACAAGTTAAAAGAGGAAAGGTTTATTTTAACTCAGTTTGTAGAGGTTCCAGTCTGTAGTTGGCTGACTGCAAGGCAGGGCATGGCAGAGGAGAAACAGTTCATGGCATGGCAGGCAGGAAGCAGCAGGTCTTTCTTCTGCTTTCCTTTTTTTTTTTTTGGTACCAGGGATCAAACTTGGAAACTTGTGCTTGCGAGGCAGGCAGCGGAACCACTGAGCTAAATCCCTGGCCTACTTTCCTTTTTTATTCCTTCCAGGCTACAAGCCTATTGGACGATTCCACTTACACCCAGGGTAGGCTTTCCCTCTTCAGTAAGTCCATCACTCACACCCAGAACTATGCTAAACCAAACAGTGGACTGATCTTGTATCACTTAACCTAAAATCCAGTCACTCCCAAAAGCCCCACCATGGGGACATCAGGCTTTAGGGGGACATCTAGATGTAAGCCATAACACTCACAGAAAAAGACTTTCAGAGTGGTTTCATAAAGTGACAAGAATGGTGGGATAAGTGTGTTTGAAGCAAGGGAAAGTATTTTGAGGGAGACTAATGGCTGTGTTTCTTATTGTAATAAATTTTAAAAATTTAAGCGCTAATTTTAGATTATACTTTTGACAGTGAATTAGAAAAGGCCACAAGACCTTTTTATAGAACTTAGACATAAAGAATTTCTAGCCAAGTGTGGGTGGTACATGCTACTCAGGAGTTTTAGGCAGGAAGATCACAGGTTCGAGTCCAACCTGAGCCAGGGATTTAGCTCAGTGGCGCCACACCTCCCTCGCAAGTGCAAAGTCCTGAGTTCAATCCCCAGTACCGGAAAAAAATAAAAATAAAAAGGGCTGGGAATATAGCTTAGTGGTAGAGGGCTTGTATGTCACACACAAGACCTTGGATTTAATCCCTAATACTGGGGAAAAAATTCTAAAATCAGATATGTTCTCTATTAGGATTATTAGCAGTGAGGTCTAGAAAAAAAAAAGAGCATACATTTGGCCTTAAAAAACCTGGGTTTAAATCTTAAGTATTACTATCTTTTTAAGAGGGTTACCTTTTTACTTTTGGACTTATCTTACCAGGTTATTTTGAGTGTTGAATGAAACAATATATGAGGCAAGAATCACAATTTTTGCACACAAAAAACATTAGTAAACTATGGGTACATAGGAACTGCAAAGCTCTTTAATGGTTAAATATTGTCCTTTCCCCCCTAGATGTGAGCTATTTCATTATTTTTTGTTGTTGGAAAAGAAATTCCTTACAGTGCATACAGTGTCATAACTAAAATTACATGTTACTTTGAATATCAGTCCTTACATCAACTGTAGAATCTTCATTTGCTGACTATTCCCTGTAATTGTTAAATAATTTATGTATGTGCTTGATTACCCAATGTAAAACTTTTCATTTTTTCCTCAGATTTTATACATTTATTTGCTCTGTCTGCAGTTCTGGACCAGAATACCTCAAACGTCTACCATTACAGTGGTAAGCATGGAAATTTCTTTTAAGGGAAAAAATAGCCATATTCTTAAACCTATGAGGTGAAAGTTCTATACAGATACTGACTTAGCTTAAGTAAAACTTGATTGTTCTTTAAGCCTAGTTTTATTTCTATTATTTATCCTCAAGCCTATGTCACCTTCAGTGATCATCCACTCTTACTGTTAAATTTGTAAGCTATTCATTATTGAAGGGGGTAAATGTAGTTTCCAGACATCTTTTAGATCTTAAATTCTTGTTTGTATTTCTAGTTCTTTTGTGCCTTCAGAATGTCATCCAATAAAAAGGACATAAATTAAATACGACAGTTTCAGTGTAGTTAATTCTTATATGTGGGAATTGTGATGCCTTAACTAATAATAGTGGAGACTTAAAAAGTATAGCATTTATGAAATTTTGTTTTATTTTACATATTTTAGGATCGGATAAGTTTTAATTCATGAATCAGATAAAGCTTGGTAAAGTGTGGTTTTTTCTGTGGTGTATATGTAGTTATAAAAACACAACAATCCTAAGTTTAAGTTATTTTCTCTTAAAGTGCCAAATCCTCTTGAATGCATTTTAAATTTACAGTTACTGTCCAGATTAAGTAAATGTTTAATGTTTTCCAGTTTTTCTATATGTAATGTTATGTTATATTGTAAATACGACTTAGGATGTTGACCCTCTAGCCATCTTAACATTTCACTTTGGACTTTTAGTTGTTGGTTTTATAAAGAAAGTGTATGATTTCTTAAGAATAGCCAAACACATTGTTTTCATGTATTTTGATTATTTTTGAATTTCAGGGTAGATATAGCACACCTTTGCCTTTACAACCTAAGTGTTATTCACAAGAAGAAATATTTTGATTCTGAACTTGAGCTTATGACATATATTAATGAAAACTGGGATAGATTGCACCCTGGAGAGGTAGGTATTTAGAGCTAACCTCATTAGCTACTCAATAGCTTTTTAATTTTGTTTTTACAAAACAACAACTACAGGTGTGAGTTACACAACTAAAATACAATTTTATTTGTAGTTCTGGAAAGGAATAACTTTTATAATTACCTCAGGACCAGCTCTCTCATCCTCTTGTACTTTTTGCCTGTTAACTCTGAAAAAATGTAGATGAAGGAAGTAAAATACTACATTCTTCCATATTCTGAAGTGAGAATCACTGGAGTTAAAAGATAGAGTGGGAGAAATCCTTTGTATCGAATGTCTTACTTGTGATTTGACCTTCTTTTCTTCTAAGTTTTCTGTAAACTTAGAGCTCTAACCAACATTCTTTCCCTGTTTATTGATACTCCCTTACAATCTCTGACTCCCGGGAATGGTGGGATCCAATTAACAGATTAGAATAATGAGTTATAGAGTGAAGTTAGCTGGGTTAGAGATTACCCTTTTATTCTAACATCTCATTTTGCTTATTTGTGAAGTATAACCACTTATGCTTGTTTTTCAAAGGATCTTTTTAAATAAAAGAAATACAAAAAATAATACATAGTCATTGAATTTTTTTTTTTTTTTTTTGTATCAGGATTGAACTCGGGACTTTGTGCTTGCGAGGCAGGCAGCGGAACCACTGAGCTAAATCCCTGGCCCAAAAGATTTTGAAACTAAGCACAAAGAGGAAAGAAACTCAGCATAGACCTTATTTTTAGCATTTATTTAGAATTATTAAAATGTAGATGATTCTCTTAAGTGAAAATTTTAAAATGTGTTTGGTACCTTATATGTTTGCATTTTAGTTATGCATTACTTTTTGAGGAAAAGAGTGTGCAAACTGATTTGACATTTCAGAAAAATTTCTGCATTTGTAGCTTTAGATAGGTCTTAATGAAATTTATATTAAGTAGGAAATCAAGGGTTGGGGATGTAGTTTAGTGGTAGTCCATTTGCCTACATATGCAAGGTCTTGGATTCAATCTCCAGCACCACAAAAACCAACCATCCAACCAAATAAATAGTGTATCGAGGGTATTGGGGATTTTTGAATTGTAATTATGGGCATCAGTGAGGCTATAATGCACATTTAGTTGGTAGATGAGTTGCAAAAAATAAAAACTCAAGATGGAGTACTCAAGTATTAAAGTCTAGGATATTTTGAAATTTAATTGACACAAGATTTTCTGAGTATTAGATACTGAACTATAATACTAATTCTTGTTCTGTTTTTATAAAATATTTCTTTTAAGTGAAGTTTGAAAGAAAGTAGGTAACTTAAGAATGATACATTTTAAGGCCGGGGATTTAGCTCAGTGGTTCCAACGCCTGCCTTGCAAGTGCAAGGTCCTGATTTCAATCCCCAGTACCAAAAAAAAAAAGAATGATGCATTTTAGTAAGAAAAAATATAATAAGGTTCTAGTATTAGCTGTAGTGTTATGGTCATCTTAATAGTTAATGCTCTAAAGCAATTGTTTTAAAATCAATAGCTGGATTCTTCCAATACTTCAGATACATCTGATACCTGTTAGTACATTTTATTTCATATCATGAAATTCTGCAATAGTTACTTGATGTAGATAGTGCGTACACATATTAAAAACTCAAATTGTATTTATTTTAAATGCTATTTAAAATTTAAGCATTAATGTTTAATTTTTAAGTAAAAATGTGAGAAAGCAAAATTTATAATTAATCTGTTTTTAAAATCTTTATGAATGTCAAGTATCTCTTTTACTGAATTTCTGATACATCATAGTAGAAAAAATTTACTTCAGCAAATACATATTTTCATTATTTGTCACTTACAAGATGATGTCTTAAGAGGGCTGGGGATTTAGCTCAGTGGTCCCACCACCTGCCTTGCAAGTGCAAAGTCCTGAGTTGGATCCCCGGTACCCAAAAAAAAAAAAGATTATGTCAGAAATAAGAAAAAGTGGGGCTTGGATTCAGATTAGTTGTAGAGCACTTGCCTAGCATGCATGGGACCTTAGGTTCCATCCCTAGCAGTGAAAAAGTAAAGCAAACAAACAAAAAAAGAAAAATTAGAAAAAGTAAATTTTACTTTGTAGAAGTGTTCACATTTAATGATTTGTAGTCAGTTCTCATTTCTCTTTCTCTGCATTAAAATAAAAGAATTCAGGTTTGTTAGATTAGTTATCTGCTCTGCAGACTAGATACTGACAGATTGAGTTTGGGTTTTTAGTTCTGATACTAATCTTTTACATCTTTATATGGTAATTATACCTAGATCTTAGGATAGGACTTTAATAATAAAGATACAAAATTTATGCCAGTCTGTAGTGTGTATTTAGTGTTTTTCATTTAGTTTACTTTTCAATGTGAAACAAAAACAATAAAAATAATGGATAATCCCAGATGGCTTGAATAGTAAATTTTTGGTTAAGAAGAATTAAATTGCAAATTGAACTTTGTTTCTAAACACAGGTTAAAAAAGTGTTTGTTTTATTCTTTCTATAATATGCCATTAATCACTTTTAATATGTAGGAAATAGTGCATGATAAATGTACTAATAATGTACACATATACATACAGGCATTCCTCACTTAACTGGGTTATGTTTCTGCAACTAGGTTCTTAAATGAATTGGTTGCTAAATAAGGAATTGTATATAGTATGTACATTACTTTTTTCAGAATGGTGAAAAGAAACTCCAACTTCATGACTTTCCTTTTATTTGCACAGTTTTCATCCAGAGTTGTAATGTATAACAACATAAAACTACAGTACTGTACTACATAGTGCAGTCAGCAAAAATTACAGTACTGTATAAACAAGGTATACTGTATAATAGACATTGAGGCTCTATAAACAAGATGTACAGAACTGTACCCAAAAAAAGAGCCTTAAATCTGAATACTTGTCAAACAGGCCATTAAATGAGGGATATTTGTATATAATATATAATATTATATGGTATATATAATATACACCCATACTCGTATATATTTGTTTTGGTTTGGTTTTTTGAGACAGGGTCTTGATATGTGGCCTTAAACTTGCAGCTATCCTCCTGCTTCAGCTTCCCGAGTATGTGCTGGGATTTACAAGTATGTGGCGCCACACCTAGTTTTATTTATGTTTCATCATTGGCTACTTTGGAATTATTTTGAACATCAATTCTTACTGTAGATAACTTGAATTATGTTATATAAGCATTTGGCCTAGAAATTTCAAATGTGAAATAAAACACAATAGTAGTGAACAGTTTTGCTTTCTCAAATGTGGGGTTTCATCCCTTCTTGCTTAGGTGGGAAGAAAAATAAATCTTGTGATTATGTAAGAAATTGAGCCAGATGTGGTGGTGCATGCTGGAGGCTGAGGTATGAAGTTCTACCACAAGTTCAAGGCCAGCCTGGAGTACATAGTGAGATCCTGTCTCAAAAAACAAAACAAAAACTTTTTTTAAAAAAATTAACTTTTTAAGAGCAGATTTAGGTTCATATCATAATTGAGAGGGGGTTATAGAGATAGCCTACTTATCCTCTTCCTATGCATATAGTATATCGCTTCCACCATTGTCAGCATCCCCCACCAGTATAATGCATTAGTTACAATTGATTAACCTACATGGATACATCATCAAAGTTATGACTTCTTTGAATAGCAAAAAGAAGTTTTAAAAACAATAAATTTATTTTTGAGATAATACTTTCATACTGAAAGATAAATTTAACTTTCATATGTATCTTTTTTCTTAGTTGACTATAAGCTTGCTGATAAGAGGAACTCAAACTTGTAAACCATGTTAGAAGATAATGATAGTTTTATGTCATGTTTATGTGGTTTTTGTACATTCATGTTTGTAACTTGGTGTCTTAATGATTACCATATAAAATGAGTATAGTTGTTTGAGGAACTATGTTTTCAAATAGCTTCTTTGAGATAATAAAAATACTTAATGTAACATTTGAGACTATAATAAACATACCTTAAGGTTTTTTATTAAAATGAAGGGTCACTGTTGTATCATATTGCTTTGGGGACTTTAACATAAAATAGTAATACTTTTTGGATTCTGTTTTCAGTTGTCTTTGATTCTTAATGTGATTTGACATCATAATTCTGTAATAATCCCACTTTCTGTTGACTGTGATCTTAAAATTTTAAAACCCTAACGTTGATAGCAGAATAATATAGACTGCTACCTTTTGATGGGGATAAGGAGAAAAGCATAGGTGAAACTCAGTAACATACTATGGTGGGAATATTTTGGCTAGGAAAAAAACATATCATAGAGATGGTATCATATTTTTAAATGTGAATAGTAAATCTGATTAATAGCTATATTTGGGACCTTGAGTGTTATATATTAGTATGTGACATATGGGTTGACAAATAAATTGTTGGCATACCTGCGCCTAGGTGGCATGAGACTCAATATTGATAATTGAATGGTTTATTTTATTGAAAGTTATACTTTAAATATTAGTACTTATGTCTGTACAGAAATACATAAACTTGAAAATAAAAATAAACTGAGATTAATGTTTGCAGAGGGAGTAACAAAAAGTATTTTTTGTGTTGGAGATATAAAATAAACTTTATGGTAGGATAGCCTAGAATAATGATGGCGAACCTTTTAGAGCTTTTAATGATACAAACAGCCTGATGAGGCATGCATGCTATAGGTTCGCCAACACAGGCCTAGAATATGATGTTCTAGTATAGTTGATCTGATTTAAATTATTAAAGCTGCATGTTTAGATTTTAAAATACAGTAAGGGAACCTTTGACATTTTTATGTGAGTTTATATAGTCCTTTGCAAAATAGTCATGTCGGAAGACACTGACAGATAAAATTTGTGATAAACCTTAGGGAATAAGCACTGAAAGAACTGAAAGAAATCATTGTGATTTTCAAAAAGTAAAGAGGGAGTGGGTTTTAGAAATTAGGAAGTCAGTTTTTTGCTGAGTCTCACCAAAATTGTGGAGACTTTTCAGATCTATGATTTGTGAAGCTAAAAAGCAAAGAGAAAAAACCCCACCTTATTATAAATAAATCATATTAAGTACCCTAGTTTCTTTTTGACATGGTTAGCAGTGCTGGTTTGTCCAATGCTGTGGCCATCATAGGCATAGTATAACGATTTTAGTTAAGGTACTGAAATGTGAACTTACTACAGTGAAAATTTGTTTCATTTGTATGGAGTCATTCTTAAGGGATACTATAATGGAGGGTCACAAGGGTCTGTGTTTATCTCTGTCCTCAATTCACAAAGGATGTCAGAATCAAAAAAAGATCATGTGAAATATTGGAGCTGAAAAAAATCAAATTAGTAACAGTTACAAAGTTCTTTTAGGCCTAAACACAAACAACAGTACAGATGTGTGCTAGAGTATACTTGATTTGATAGCCGTTCATCTAGTAAGGGTTCATACTTGGGGAATGAGAAGAGAGAAGATCAAATTAACTAGCCCAGAGTTTAGTATGAAGCAATCATGTGATGTGATTGCTAAAATCTTTAACCTAATCTCCTACTTAAACATGATAGCTGCTTTTAAATGTTTGAAGAGCTGTTTTATAAAACAGGACATAGAGGATTCAAGGAAAGTTGTGCCTACCTATAGAATGGGCTTCAGCAGGTGCATTATACCGAGGTGGAATAACTAGCTCTCTTTTAAAAGAGATTGTTGTCTTAGTGGAAGATTGAATTAGATTTAGGGTTTGTTTCTTTCAAGCTTTAAAGTCTGATTTTGTCTATTTTTAAAATAGAAATTCTCAGGCTGAGGGTAGCGGTAGGGAGAGCATGTGTGAGGCCCTGGGTTCAATCCTCAGCACCAAAAAAGAAGGAAAATTCTTTATCTTTGGATACCTCAGAAATTTCAGTGGGATAAAGTTTTACAGCCTAACACCTAAGGGCTATGTTATCTCTGTCTGTCCGTCCATCTATCCTGTCTCTCTGTCTATGGCAGTGGACACACTGGTACAGAAGGAGGGGCTCTTGTTGAATGTTGACAGAGTGGAATTACTGTTACCTGGGTTTAGGTTCTAGCTCTTTTTCAAGTAACCAGGGGAATTTGAGTAGTCTATTTAAACTTCATGTTTGTTGACTCACCTGTATAATAGAGTTGGAATAGCTGACTAAATGTTAAGCCTCTTTTTGTTCCAGTATTCGTTTTGGAAGATTTTTTGCTCTTTCCCTTAAAACAGTTCTGAGCTAGAAGTTTAAATTGGTAAAGAATATACTGGGTATAATTATAAAAGCCAACTGTGATAATTTAGAACCTTTTTTTTTCTTATGTCTTTATGGCTTTAATTCATGATGATCCTTTCATAATTTAGAACTTTTTTGTTAACGTGCACCAGTGTTTAAACTTTGAAGAGCCGACGTGGGAGTGAGTATATGCTTATAATCCCAGCTCTCAAGAGGCCGAGGCAAGAGGATTGCAGTGAGTTTGAGGCTAGCCTGAATTACATAGTGAGACTGTCTCCAAAATAAACAAGAAAAGAAAAAGAAAAAAAAACCACACACAACTTTGAAGAAGTAGAAAGATCTTTGGGGGAAAGCCCAATTGTAACAAAATAGAATATTTTGTAGAATTCAATATGCAGATTTTATAATAGATTATGATGACAAAAAAATGACAGTCAAATAGGACCAGCTAAAGTCTACAGTTGTGTTTGTTTGTTTGTTTTGCGGTACCAGGGATTGAACTCAGGACCATGGGCTTGCCAGGCAGCCCAGTGCCATTGAGCTGTATCCCAGGCCCAGGTCTACAGTTGTTTTGAAAATACTTTCTCCCTCATTTTGCAGTACATTTTTACATTATGGGTAATTGTTTATGATAACAGTAAAGGCACTGGGAAATAAAATGCTTTTCATTACCTTTTATACCTTTTCCTATAGATATCTATTAGGAGCTTTCATGGTAAATGTTAAAATAACTAATATATTATTTCCCTGGGTTATAGAATTTTTAAAAATTAATACTAAAATTTTTGTAGTGTTTACCATTTGTATTTCTTTTAAAAATATATTATTTTCTATATAATGAACTAATAAAATAATTAGTGCAGAATTTATATCCTTTGTAGTTGAAAAAATAAGCCTTGAGAAGTTGTATGGCCCTATGTTGCTCACATGGCTGGTGGCTAATCAGTGAGGACCTGGACTTGGATCTTAGGCTTCTGACTATCAGTTAGTATATACTTTTCCTTTGCATCACATTGCCTCTATATAGCACTTGTATATTACTAATTGATGAAATTGTAGTGCGTTAAATTGTTTCTTGATACTTCACAGCTGGCAGACACACCAAAATCTGAAAGATATGAGCATGTTCTGGAGGCATTAAATGATTACAAGACCATGTAAGTTGATTTATTTTACGTATCCCTATGAGGGAGACAGTAAGAAGGAATAATGGCATTGTTTAAGAATTATGGGATTAGTATATAGGTCAAGTACATACCATTAAAAATTTTTTAATGTCCTGTTCTTATTTGGTTAGAGTACAGCAGGGATTCTCAAGGACTGGAGAAAGGAAGAGTAATCCTTCTGTGGGAATGGTGGGTGGGAGGCACCTCAGTATCATTCAGAGAGAATTTGATCTCTTCCATTGAAAAAGCATAGTCAGTAATTTATTTCTGTAATTCATTCTTCTAAAAATAAGTTAAAAATCTTGTTAATATTACAAAGAATAGAAGTGTCTTGAAAGTTTGAGATCTGTGGTTTTAAGGTTAGTTATTGTCATTTAGTTGTAGAAGTAGTATTACTGGTCTGAGTGTGGTCTAAGATAATTGAGTGATATTTGACATATTTTTATATGGATATCCCTCCTTTTAAAAAAATTTAGGGTATCTAAATTTCTTGAAAATATCTTCAAAATCTCATAGATGTTTTATAAATGTGTATGCAGACTCCAACTAATGAATTATATTTTATAATGTATTTTTATAAAATTTTATAATTTTTGTTTCTCACAAGATTCTATTTCCTCATTAAATTACATTTTAATTGCTAGTCATCAGATCTTTAGGTTGAATTAAAAAGCATAAGGTACCTGAGTAATTATTTTACTGGTAAAAAATATTTTATGAGACAGTGAATTCTGAATTACAGATTAGGGTGTCAGAAATACATCTGTTCCTATTTAAGTAGGAATGGGAGCTCGCTGTTCTTAAACTTGCATAAAAGTGGAAGAACATTCCAAATATTTGACAGAGGTTGTTGTAACTATTGAGGCTGTATTAGAGCTAAGGTAAATGAAGGTGTTTGGGAATAAGGACCGTAACAATTAAAGAAAAGGGCTTAAGAGCATGTTTTTCAGAGGCCCAGGTCTATACTAAAATAACAGTTCTCTAGGTTATTTCCAATTCCACATCTGGCACACTAGACACTTGTTTTATTTTCTGGGTTTCCTACTTTCTTTTCTCATTCTGTCATTTACTAGTTCTGACAAAATTTTCTCTCCTTACAGGTCCACTTTGAGATAGACTTCTTTCCATAAAACTTTTTTGAGATATTTCTAACATATCACTAAAATAGGGAAAATATTGGAATTAAAAAGACATTATTTTGTACCATTCTTCCTTGCTTTAAGAAATTAGTTGTCCCCCCACCCCCACCCGCCTTGAGACAAAGTCTTACTATGTTGTCCAACCTGGCTTCAAACTCCTGGGCTCAAGTGATCCTCCTGCCTTGGCCTCCTGAATGCTGGGACTACAGGTGCACACCACCACACTTGGCCTAGCTGCCATTTTTTCTTCCTGGAACTGATTGATTTCAGGGGTGCTGAGCTATATTCCTAGCCAATTTTTAAATTTTTTTTTTCATTTTAATTAGTACATGTTTTCAGTACATAATGATTACATTTTATCATGGGGAATTGGTACATGTATATATGACACATCTTCTTTTTACATCCCCTTTTTCTTTTTTCTTTTTCTAAAACGAGATCTCACTATGTTGCCCAGGCAGTCAAGCCTGGCTAATAGTCATATTTTGAAAAGAAAAGTGGACATGTGCCTTTTTTCGCTTCTGATCTTATCTCTTCCCCTATGATACCATACCGTACAGTGGACTGCCTCTAGGGAAGATAAGAATCAAGGAAAGCAAGGAGAATTAAGGGCTTTTGTAGTATTAGATGGGCTTCCATATAGAAGGGACTTATGAGTGAAAGTTAAATGAGTTAGGGTCTCCCATGTATATGTGTTGAGTTTTTAAAATTTTAGTTAATTCTTTTAAAAATTTAGGTTTATGTCTGGGAAGGAAATAAAGAAGAAGAAGCATTTGTTTGGGTTACGAATTCGTGTTCCTCCTGTGCCACCAAATGTGGCTTTCAAAGCAGAGAAAGAACCTGAAGGAACATCCCATGAATTTAAAATTAAAGGCAGAAAGGCATCCAAACCTATATCTGATCCAAGGTAAAAGTTGATCTGTGGCTTAGTTTTTCTCTTTAGCTTATCTGTAACTAAAAATGTGTGTTGTTTAGTCTCATTAGTATATTTCAAAGTACAAGCAGCCGTTACCTTGATTTTTTTTTTTCCTTCCATAATTTCTTTTTTACATAAACTATGAAAAGCATTGATTTAAATACTGACTTGATCATGTTTCTTCATTTACGTTTCATTCATTCATTCCACACATTTATCAAATTCCTCATCTAAGAGGGGATACCATGACAAGACAGATTTTCTTCTCTCATGGGATTATAGTGGGGAGATTTACATTATAGTGGGGAAGATAGGTGGTAAGTAAGTAAAATAATTACTGAATCAGTGCTGTTTAAGAAATAGCATGCAGGGGCCGGGGATTTAGCTCAGTGGTTCCACCACCTGCCTCGCAAGCACAAGGTCCCAAGTTTGATCCCCGGTACCAAAAAAAAAAAAAA